GACTTGTGATTCATGGACTGCCTCTCTAACAACCCTCCTCTTGGCAGAAACAGGCAGGAAATCCAACCGGTCCAATGTCCATGCGTTGTTCGGGTTGGGGGAGAACGTCGAGCACTGTCTGATAACCTTCGGCTTTCCAGCCAAACCCGTCCCGGCCGTCAACCATGGAGGGAGCAGAAGGGTGCCCTGGGGGCCAAGGAGGCAAAGCCCAGACCGGGATCCAACATCTATTGCTCATGGACGAAACCGGGATCAGATGGGCAAGAGGGTTTGGGTTCAGGGCTCAGCAAGAGGCGGTTGGCACGCCGTACCTCAGTGCTTCCCAAGCTTGGCAACTTTAAGACGTGTGGGCTTTGACTCCCAGAATCCCCCAGCCAGCATGTCACACATGTCACCAGTCCCTTCTTGTCCGCCCCCAACAACTGACACCCAGGCCTCCCCGCTTGTTGTAAGTAGAGGAAAGGGAGGTTTAGTCAATCGTTGGAAAGTCTCCATTGCAGAGCGACGCTCCTCCACCTGCCCCTGTGGCTGGGGATGATGGTCCCCTGGGCTAACCCTCGGCTCACGGGTTGCACAGGTGCTTCAGGATGCAGGGGCGGCATAAATCCCGATTGCCAGGCGGCTCCGTGCCTCCCCAGCCGGGTGTAAAGAACGGCAGCCCAGCGGCTGTTCACCGCTACGGAAGAACTGCAGAGAACTCTGACCTTGGGGGAGCTCAGCGAAGCTGGTTAGGAGTTCCGGCGGTCAGAGAACTGAAGCAGGGAAGTTTTGCAATGCCGGGCCGATATCTGACAGGCGCCGTTCACGCCGGCCACGGGATCAGCTCTTTCCGGTGCAGAATCGGGCACAGGTGCCAGGGGTGTCTCTAGGATATGGGCAGGAAAGGCAAGGTGGTCGTCTGACGGTGCAACCGAAGCTGGGCGGAGCTTTGATTCCACCCTCATGGCCACCATCTTGACTTTTTTGACCATACTCTGCGGAGGCCCCTGCAGAATGCTGATAAGCGCAGAGGGGTGCCAGTG